ATCGACACATGGACATGACTCAACACAAGTGACAGCTCAGCATGACCAGTTCGCTATAAGGTGACCTCGAGTACCTTGATACCCCGAACTACGGATACCCCAAGCTAAGGGTATCCCGAACTAAGATTGTCTTAGCACCAGATCGCGACCAGGATAACGGAACCAAGTTCGTTACACATTGAGCCCGGACAGATGAACCACCTCAGTCGAGACTACTTCAGGACAAGTATACCTTGGTGCAAGATTGCACCAGGATCACCTCGGTCCAAGGGCACTTCGGCATTCATGTCAGAACGGACCTAAAGAGCACGAGCTCGATAAGCTCGCTATCAGCTCGCCATCAAACAATCTGGTACCCTACAGGCAGCTCGCCTACCATTCAGACCTCCGCATGGCAACCTCGAGGAGCACACCTCCGTAATCTATACCCCACAGACCGTACTTTGTAACGACTACATTAGTTTACCAACTCCCCGATTCAGACGGGAAGGAACAATCTTACCGGTTGATGGCATTTTACCCACCTAACACGCAAGCAAGTCCCAATACAGTAAGGATCTAGTAACCGTTCCACCAACCCACATGGACTTCAGTATATAAAGACTCAGCCCCCCCAGGGGCGAAGGTACGTTCTATTTTTATTGTTGTGTGTGTAATCTTCGCTCTCTAGCTCTCTCACTGTTATCATCTTCAAGCTCTCTACTACTATACTGTGCTAACTTAGCCATCGGAGTGTCCCCGCCGGGTGAGCCACCCAGGGATCTTTGACCCCCCTCTTGCAGACTATCCAGTTCACATCGTTGCTGGCAGCCAGATCATCTCCAGTAGGGAGTAGCCAGATTACGCCACATCAATTGGCACCGTCTGTGGGAATTTGTTACTAAAAACCTTGTATCTCCATTCCAAAAACCTCAAACTCAAAATCAAACCCATGGCTTCACCCAACAATGCCAGACAACACAACGAAGCAAACGTCTCTGGGGGGCAACCTCAGTTCCCAACTGTCTGTATAGGCCAATTCACCATACCGCTCCCCGTGGGCTTGTATGAGCTATTCAAGCCCAAATGCAGCAGGTCCAGTAGTTCCAGCAGTACCAACAACAAATTCTGCACCACATGTACTAGCAACAGTTCCCACCACTGCAACAGAACCAACAACCAACACCACCTCAGTGTCCGATCACCCCGAGCAAGCCTCGCCGCCAAAACAGTTGTCCTTGCCGGGGAGAGACCTCCCAGGTCTCGTCTCGCGGTAGGAGAGAAAGACAAGTCCCTCTCATCTCTCAGCAAGTAAGTAGGTCGAGAGATGCTCAGCCCACCAAAACCAATCCACCTCGACCTTCGCGACCTGAAGGCACTCTTGTAGGAAACCGGTTCGAGGTCCTAGCTGAGGACTCCAGGAAAGACATTTCAGTCCGTAGTAGCCGGCAGTTTGAGTCACTTCCGACCAAAGCACCATCTGACAGTGCGGAGGTCAGCAGCACTGCTACGGAACCTGTCAAGCAACAGCAAAGGAGACATGTTGGAGCACCTCGGGCGGTAAATCCAGGCCAGCTCGCGAGACCTAGCCGACCTGAGCAACTTAAAGGTAAAATGGAGGTAAGCTCGAGAATCACAAAAACCGCTCCCCTCCTCTCTGTACCCTCTCCACTGTCCCTCGAGCTCCTGGCCTCCCCGATGCCGATGAACTTCAGGGTTCCCCCCCTGGATAAGTATGACGGGTCTTTCGACCCAAATGACCACATAGGTTCTTTCCAGTCCCAGATGCACCTCACTAACGAAGCCTACATGTGTGTTGCTTTCTCCACAACCTTCAAAGGGGTAGCTCGCACTTGGTATAGAAACATTGTGCCTAGGACAGTTAAAAGTTGGGCGCAGCTCGTACAGTTGTTCACCTCGCACTTCATCACCAGTAAGAAGTGTCCGAGGTCGCAAGAAAGCCTTCTCAGTATAGTCCAGAGGGAAGGAGAGTCGTTTCGAAGCTACATCAAACTTTTCAATGACACTTGCCTACTAATCCCAGACTTAGACCCTGTCGTAAGACTCACGACAGCAAAAAAGGGGATCACCAATAGCGAATTCAAGTGGCATGTGGTGGCAAACAAACCCAAAGACATCACAGGATTCCTTAAGCTCACCGATCAGTTCATCGGGACTGAGGAGGAGATGAACCAACGGATTGAAGCCCTAGTAGAGAAAAGAAAGAGGAAATACTACAGCTCGAACAATGGTGGCAGCAAGAGAAAGAAAAGCAAGTCCCCCACCAGGAGAGGGAACGGGTTGGATTTTCACCCCCGAGCTCCCCCGGTTGAAAGAACAAGCTTCACACCCCTCAACGCGAAGCGAGGGGAAATTCTCATGGCGGTCAAGGATGCTTCTTTTGTGAAGTGGCCACCCCGGTTGAGGGGGGACCCGACCCTTAGAAATAAAAATGTATTTTGTCACTTTCATAGAGATCACGGTCATAGTACCGAAGATTGAAAAAACTCCACGACGAGATCGAAGAGCTCATCCGTCACGGCTACCTAAAAAATTTTGTACAAAAAGGTAATAAAAACCAGGCAGATCGACAGGGGGATTAAAGGAGAGATGCTCCCGAGCCCAGTAGCCAGCTGATAGATTGACAAATTGCATGTGATTTTGCTTGTTTTCCTTGGGTTTTTGGTTAATAATTGTGTAATTTGAGGTAGTTTTGATGATAATTGTGTTAATGTTGTTTATTTGAAGGCTTGAATCAAATTGGAGCTAAAAAGGGAGGATTTGAAGTATAATTTGGAGTTTAATATGATGGAAAGAATGAAAGGACAAAAAGGGCTGCATAGTTGCTGAAAAGAGTCTCACAATAGTTACAACGTGGGTGCGTTGTAATGGCTGAAGAGTGCTGAAGTTGCCTGCTGATCAGAATCGCACATTAGTTACAACGCGGGCATGTCGTAAGGAAGCTACAAGTCTGAATTCCTGCGAGAGAAGAAACGATATGTTGATGATTTCTGAATCTTTTATTATCTTTTTGGATTAGGAAATAACTATTAAAAGTCCTAATCTTGTGGGCAACTCTTTTAGAAGTGTTTTATTTGTTTTATGACTTAACTTTAGAGATTATTTTTTTAGGGAAGCTCCTAAAATTTAGGAAACTTCTCCTTATAAGTAGGAATAGGTCTCTTTTGCTGAAAGAGATATACGTACGTTTCATATGCACAGCCGCCCAACTACTTCTCTCTCTCTTTTCAATACAATATCATCTTTTTCTTTATTTTCTCTTTATTCCCCTTTAATTTTCTGAAGAAAATTTAGCGACGGAGATGACAACCATGAGTGGCTGAGCTTCTCTTTTCTGATTCAAGGGGAATTTTTGGTTCAATTGTGTCACCGTGAGGTTATGTGCTTAATTTAAATTCTTGCCTTTAATTCAAGTATTCGTTTATTCTTGTGCATATTTTTATGGAAGTTGATGTTGATTAATCTAACAAATTAATTGATATTGATCTTTCTACGGCTATCCATGATTCAGTGATCCGTAATTGTCACGAATAGTGGTACAAGTAGCAATTAGGTCAATATCTTTGTGGGTCAATTGTTTGTGACAGCCTTTGACCAATGTGTTGGCATGTTTTAACCTAAAGGGAATCAACAGAACAAAATTTAATAATTGCAGCTATCTCAATTATTTTTATTTTGGTTTAACTGTTTTCATAGAATTTATTGCTATCATTAATTGATATGGAACGCTATTGTGCCCAGTCGGTTAATGATAAGTGTTGATTGAATGCTGGGTTTGGTCAACTAAATTAGGAAGGTATAAGGTTTATTATGGCTATCCTAATAAATCTAAAAGTTAAATGCTTGAATTGCAACATTGCTATTTTTAGCCTATGATCGGTGATCAATTGACTCAAATTGAACCCTTGGATCAGAGTTTAGTAAGACTGGAATTTTCATTGTTAATTGTTATTTGCTATTTTGTGTTAATTATTATTTTAATTTAGAAATTTAATTATTTGAAATTCCCACTCTTTAAATTGTGCATTTGGCTGAGAAATTAATTACTGGCTCCCTGTGGGATTCGACCTAGTACCACTGTTACTACAATTTTATTCGTAGGGTGGGACTAGAATTAAATTTGAGGGCTTCAACAACCCGTTAGAATTTTGGCACCGTTGCCAGGGAGCTATTTTAATTTCTTAGCTTCGTGCCTTCCGTTTGTGCTAACCTCTTTTGTTTTGTGACTCGTTCTTCTCAAAAAGGTGAACTAGAATATATTCCTGAAATTGAGAAGACAACCCGTCGTTTGAGAAGGGAGGCTAAGCAAAGGAAGGGTCATTCACCTCCAAGGGTGAATTTCGATATTGACTTGAAAACTTGTGATAGATCTATTTTTGAAGAAGAAGAAAAGATGGCTGATAGAGAAAGAACACTAAGGGAGTTAGCTGCACCAGTCATGAATCAACAACCTTTGTGCATAGTATATCCCACTCTTGAGGTAGCTTTTGAACTTAAATCAGGTTTAATTCAATTGYTTCCTGTTTTTCATGGTTTTCCAGGCGAGGACCCTCACAAGCATCTTAAAGAGTTCCATGTTGTCTGTTCAAGCATGAAACCACATGGTATGACTGAGGAACAGGTAAAACTGATAGCTTTTCCTTTTACTTTACGAGATAAGGCAAATGACTGGTCATATATTCTTCCTCCTAGTTCAATACGTACATGGGATGAGATGAATAGGGTGTTTTTAGATAAGTATTTCCCTACATCACGAGCTGCAAATATTAGAAAAGAGATTTGTGGGGTAAGGCAGTCTAGTGGTGAGACACTATATGAGTATTGGGAAAGGTTCAAACAACTCTGTGCTAGCTGTCCACACCACCAAATACCTGAGCAGCTCTTAATCCAATACTTCTATGAAGGACTCCAACCTATGGATAAGAGTATGGTAGATGCAGCTAGTGGAGGAGCCTTAAGTCAACAAAACACCTGAGGCGGCTTGGCAATTGATTTCCAACATGGCTGAGAACTCTCAACAATTTGGAGCAAGAACAGATGGAGCTATCAGACGTGTTAATGAGGTAAGCCATTATAATCTGGAAAGTCAAATTTCTGATCTAACTGCTTTGGTTCGTCAATTGGCTGCATGGTAAATAAAAATGACTAAGGTTTGTGGCATATGCTCAATTCCTAGGCATCCTACGGACATGTGCCCATCATTGCAAGATGATTCAATGCAACAAGTCAATGCCATAGGAGGATTTCCTGGTCAACCTCAACGCAAATATGATCCCTATTCTAACTATTACAATCCTGGGTGGAGGGATCATCTCAATCTGAGCTATGGAAATCAAGGTGGGCCATAGAGATTCCAGCCTCAAGCTTTCAACAGACAACCTCCAATTCCAGCACTTACCCAAAGCCAAAATCATCCCTCAAGTTCAGGTATGTCTTTAGATGAGATAGTTAAGGCTCTAGAACTTAGGGAACCAAATCAGTCAACTTACTACTTCTATTAGCAAGTTGGAGGCGCAAAACTCTGGAAAACTACCATCACAGACGGTGGTTAATCCCAAGGAGAGTGCTAGTGCAATGGTGTTGAGAAGTGGGAAGGAATTGCAGCCACAACCTACTTCACCAAAGAAAGTGGATGAAGAGCAGAAAGAAGAGGAAGAACAAGATCCACCTGAGAGTTCCAATAAGGTAAAGCCTGATTCCCCTTTACCTAAGATTTCTAATGCCATTGTGCCACCTTTTCCTAGTAGGTTGGAAAAATCTAAGAAAGAAGAGTACGAGCAAGAAGTTTTGGAGACCTTTAGGAAGGTGGAGATAAATATTCCTTTGTTAGATGCCATCAAGCAAATCCCGAAATACGCAAAATTTCTAAAGGAGTTGTGCACTAACAAGAGGAAGCTGAGAGGTGATGAGAAGGTAAGGGTTGGGGAGAATGTGTTAGTTGTCATCAAGAGAACCTTGCCAGAAAGGTGTGCTGATCCAGGTATGTTTACTTTACCTTGCGTGATTGGCAAGAAAAGAATTGAGCATGCCATGCTAGATTTAGGTGCATCTATCAATGTCATGCCATACTCAATCTATTGTGCTTTGAATTTGGGTCCATTGAAGGAGACTAGGGTAGTCATTCAATTGGCTGACCGTTCTAACGCTTACCCTGAGGGGATTGTTGAAGATGTTTTGGTGCAAGTTAATGACCTAATATTTCCAGCTAAATCTTGAAGATGGAGGAAGACACTATCACAAATTCAGATCCACTTCTATTAGGCAAGCCATTTATGAAAATGGCCAAAACCAAAATAGATGTGGATGAGGGTACTCTCTCCGTGGAGTTTGACAGCGAGATTGTTAAATTTAACATTTTTGAAGCAATGAAGTACCCCAATGAATGTCATTCAATTTGTTCAGTTGACATTGTTGATTCAATTGTGTAGGAATTTTTTGAAAAAGAAGATATGAATGAGGAGCTTGAATTGAGTGCACAATTGGATGTGAAGGAAGAGTTAAGATTCATCCTGTGAAGCTTCGGAGCCAATATTGGAGTCAAGGTTAACAAATTCTAATATTCCATCATCATTTTCTCATAAGAAATTGTTACCTTCTATTTTGTAGGCTCCTAAGTTAGAGTTGAAGACCTTGCCAGATCACCTTAAGTATGCCTATTTGGGTGATGAAGAATCATTGCCAGTGATCATTGCAAAAGGGTTAACTGATGATCAAGAGGCATGGCTCATCAAGGTTTTGAAGGAGCATAAAGCAGCAATTGGTTGGACTTTAGCTGATATAAAAGGAGTTCGCCCATCAATTTGCATGCACCGAATTCTTTTGGAAGATGGTGCCAAGCCAGTCAGAGAATCGCAAAGGAAGCTCAACCCGGCAATGAAGGAAGTGGTAATGAAAGAAATCCTTAAGCTGTTAGATGAAGCGATAGTCTATCCTATTTCGGATAGTAAGTTGGTAAGTCCAATACATGTTGTACCCAAGAAAACTAGGATCACTGTGGTAAGAAATCAAAATAATGAACTGGTCCCAATGAGGTTACAAAGTGGGTGGCGTATGGTGATTGATTTTCGGAAACTTAATTTAGCCACTAGAAAAGACCATTTCCCCTTACCCTTCATAGATCAAATGTTAGAAAGGTTAGTTGGTAAGGCATTCTTTTGTTTTCTTGATGGTTTTTTAGGTTACTATCAATTAGTGATTGCTTAAGAGGACCAAAAGAAGATGACTTTTACTTTCCCGTTTGGCACTTTTGCCTATAGACGGATGCCTTTTGGTTTGTGCAATGCTCCAAGTACTTTTCAAAGGTGCATGTTAAGTATATTTTATGGGACTGGTCACAGTAGCTCGGAAGCTCCGCCCGTATTTCCAAGCCCACACTGTCGTACTCCTCACAAACCAACCTCTGAGGCAAGTCTTACTCAAGCCCGAGGTATCTGGCAGACTGACGAAGTGGGCCATCAAACTCAGCGAATACGACCTCCAGTACGAGCCTCAGACGGTGATTAAGGCCCAAGCCTTAGCCGATTTTGTAGCAGAATGTACCTTCAGCACCGCAGTCCCCGAACTGACGGAGCTCGAACACAAAGAGGAGGCCTCAACCAGTACAGCACCGGTCCCGGTTAAAGCAAGGCCAACTTGGGATGAGGAGCCCTGGATCCTCCATGCAGATGACTCATCTAATCAGCAAGGAAGCAGAGCTGGCGTTGTTCTACACGGGCCAAGCGGGGTGAAACTGGAGTACGCACTTTGGTTTGAGTTTGCGGCATCCAATAACGAAGCAAAGTATGAAGCACTATTAGCCGGGGTCACACTGGCAAAAGAGTTACAAGCGAAACACATCATCATTTGTAGTGATTCCCAACTCATGGTCAACCAGGTCACCAGCGATTATGAAGCTCGCGACCCCACCATGGTTGCTTATTTAGCCAAGGTCAGGAAAGTTCTACAAAGCTTCCAGTCATACTTTATCAGCCAGATTCCAAGGTCCGAGAATGCTAAGGCCGATGCCCTGTCCCGGTTAGCCAGCACGAGCAGCAACACCATGAGGCATAGAGAACCCGCCTCGACCCAGCATTCTCGGGGGGCAGAAGAGGTCACTCCTGTTGCACAAACAGAATCGAGCTGGATTGACCCACTCGCGAGCTACCTGCTTCACGGAACTCGACTTGCATATTGCAACCCAGCTAGAAGGGTAGAACGACAGGCAGCCAAGTACGTCATGATAGACGGGCGGCTGTACCGAAGATCCTACACGCTCCCCTACTTGCGTTGTTTGCGACCTTCAGAAGCTGAGCTCATTCTCCACGACACTCATGAAGGCCTATGCGGCAGACACTTGGGGGGCAGGGCTCTCGCCCAAAAAGCTTTACGACAAGGATACTACTGGCTCACGATGAAGGTAGACACTCGAGCTCGTTAAGAAATGTGACAAATGCCAGAGGTACGCCAACATCCATTACCAACCTGCTACCGACCTGAAGTACCTCACCAGCCCATGGCCCTTCGCACAGTGGGGAATCGACATTCCTGGGCCATACCCGCCAACGACAGGACATAGGAAATTCTTAGTAGTAGTAGTGGATTACTTTACGAAGTGGGTAGAAGCGGAACCCCTAGCAACAATCACAGCTCGAACTATACATAACTTCTTTTGGAAGAACATAGTATGCCACTTCGAACTGCCTCGAGTACTCATTTCTGACAATGGTAAGGAGTTCGAAGATATCAAGTTCCAGAACTGGTGTGCTGAGATGGGGATACAGCAGAACTTCACTTCGATAGCACACCCCCAGGCGAATGGGCAGACAGAAGTCACGAATAGAGCCATACTCCACGGACTGAAAGCTCGCTTAGCCCAAGCCAAGGGCCTATGGGTAGATGAGCTGCCTAGCGTACTATGGGCTTACCGAACCACCGTCAAGACCGCCACAGGAGAAACCCCCTTCAACCTCACCTATGGCACAAAAGCGGTAATTCCAGCCGAGATCGAGGTACCTACATTATGCCTGGAAGCCTACGACGAAGGGAACGGTGACGAAATCCACACCAACCTTGACCTGGTAGAAGAAGTACGGGACCTCGTATATATCCGGACCGCAGCCTACCAACAAAGAGTAGCTTGGTATTATAACGCCCGGGTCAGAAAGCAACACTTCCGTGTCGGGGACCTGGTCCTTCAAAAAGTTATGGTACTTAAGCTCGGTGTAGGTAAGCTCGAACCAAACTGAGAAGGCCCCTATCGAGTAAAACGGATACTCGGGGAAGGTGCGTATGAGCTCGAGACCCTAGAAGAAAAGCAAATACCTCGAGCATGGAACATCAGCAACCTAAGGTGATACTACCTCTGATTGCGAACTGTAAAGATACCAACCCCAGAAACGAGTAAGCAAGTTCTAGCTCTCAGACTGTAATTTTTTAGCTCGCAGTCTACTATGAGAGTACTAACTTAGCCATCGGAGTGACCTCACCAGGTTGGTCGGGTCCTTTGACATGTAGTTCCTTGCAGGTCTCTAAAGAACAACGAAGCCCAACACCTCACAGGCAGCTCGACACTTGATCAGCCCATCACCTCACAGGCAGCTTGGAACCTAATCAGCCCAGCACTTCACAGGCAGCTCGGCACCTGATCATCCCAGCACCTCACAGGCAGCTCGACACCTGATCAGCCCAACACCTCGCAAGCAGCTTGATACTGCATAAGACCCAGTCACCTCTTCGGCATGGGCAAAGTTCAGGAGTGGACTATGAGTCGCTCCCAAAGCTTAAGGGCCACAATACTGCTCAAGACCTAGTTGCCTCTTCGACACGGGCAAAGTTCAGGAGTGGACTACGAGTCTATCCCAGCCTAAGGGCCACAATACTACTCAAGACCCAGTTGCCTCTTCNCAGGAGTGGACTACGAGTCTATCCCAGCCTAAGGGCCACAATACTACTCAAGACCCAGTTGCCTCTTCGACACGGGCAAAGTTCAGGAGTGGACTGCAAGTCGCTCCCAAAACCTAAGGGCCACCACAAGACCTAGTTGCCTCTTCGGCACGAGCAAAGTTCAAGAGTGGACTACAGGTCGCTCCCAGAGCCTAAGGGCAAAAAATGCCGAACTGACAGGGACCTAGGTGCTACATAAGACATGGTTACCTCACTGGCATAAGCAAGTTACTTCGAGTATCTAAGGTAAAGACAGCTCGGGCATAAACCCAACGATGTCTATACCACCTTGGCAACAACCGCAGTTCGGGTCCGTCAGGGAACCAACACCTAAACAAACAACTCGTATGTAAATAGCTTGGGACGACAAACATAGAAAAATTCCACCTCGGTTATCCTTAATCGTTGCCAGCTCGGTAGCTCGACAGTTCGGGTACCCTATACATTAAATTACCCAATTCGGGGCTCACTCAGAATTATTTTGCACTCAGGATTACTCATAAACAATATATTTCATTAGTAGAAAGTTCAAGTACAAGAATTTTACTATGACCCAAGCTCAATGAACCCGGGGTGTACACCCACAATTCAAAAAGAAAAGAGAAAGAACAAGCTACCACGCGGAGGGGTCCACCACTTCAACCTCGCTATCACTCTCCTCCTCTAGGGAGTCGGGCTCCTCGTCTAAGCTTGTCATCGTGATGCCGCCAAGGTTGAGGTCGGGGACCTTCTGCCGGATCAGGTACCGGCACAGCTTGAACCCAAAGTGATAGAAGCTCGAGCCGTATTCGACTTGCAGGGCCTCGAACTCTGGGGACTCTTTGAAGCTCTTGATGGCCTTTTTCCTTTCTTCTACGATAGCAGTCTCAAAGATTTTAGTGTGCTCTTTGACCATGGCCTCGAAGTTCACGATCTCTTGCTGAAGCCATGCCTTCTCCTCAGACAGCGCGGAGATCTGCCCTTCCTGGGTCAAGATCAGCTGCTTCTCGGCCTCAACCCCCTTTTGGCTCTAAGTACCTCGCCCCGAGTCAGGTCCGGCTCGCGGTGGAGCTTCTGCACCTCCACCTTGGCATCATGAGCTTCCTTTGTACGGATCACCGACTGGCAGGCCAACGCATGACCAGCAGAGTTAGCCTACCAAAAGAATAATTGAGGTCAGTCAAAAAGAAAAAAAAGGGGGGGGATGCACGAGGAGAAGAAAAAATGCTTACCAATATACATTGGCTGCCGATTAGTCCCAAAAGCCGGCCCGTAGACATCTCTGCCCACCTTGCAACTTCGTTGTGGAAGACAGC